AATAAAATCATCAAATATGCTGACGACACCTATCTTATCATCCCTCAGACATAATCCAATCAGAACTCGACTCAGAACTGTCTGGTCAAAACAACTCAATCTGTCATTCATTTCAAAACACTTTAAACATATTAACGCTCAATAATTATTTGTCATTTGTTTAATATGTTTATTTTATTTCTCTAATGAACACATAAATTAATTATTTAGTCATTAACTAATTGATTAATTAATTTATTTATTTGTTTTTTAAAATCATTTTTTTATTTTCATTTCTTAAAACTTCTTACTCCAGAATTTACTTTTCTCTTTTTATAATAATATCTTTTATGTTATAACAGATTTTTTAAGAATATTAAAAAGTACAAAAATATTTTTTCAGCAATAAGGCTTATTCTTTATATTATTTAATTTCATTTTTATTCACCAGAGTCAGCGGTGTCTCTCCATTCTACTCAGATGGCAATGAGGAAACGTACAACAGCGTGAAACACGTAAGATACGACGTCCACTCTCTCTATCATAATGTCACAAAGCATTGTCTGAGATTCATTTATCAGACACTCAGGAGGAGTCCCAAGTATGCCACGCGTTTTTCAATTTATAATTATTTGTTGTTAGCTCCATCTATATGATATTAAATTTTTTTTATTTATCTTTGCGAAAATTTTTCTATGCGTGAAAGCAAGATGTTATATTTTTAAGAAGTAAAAATTTGTTTTTTCCAGAATTTTTAAGCTTTTATGATAATGTGTTTTTTCACTCAATCTAGCTATAAATTTTCTTTATCAAAAATTACAAAATTACAAAAATTAATAGTGAAAAGATTTGTTTATCTTAAAATCTAAAATTAATAATCGGATTTCCTAAATTTTCAATTTGTTAAGTGTTATATATATACTGCCTCCTTTTTTTAGTTGAAGATGAGCACATTTTCGTCTCTCATTTCTATGAACCCAGGACCACTGAGCCGGATGTCGGCAATTGTGTAATTGCAGATGACTGATAAGTCCGATCACTAGTTGATTACTTTTGAGTATCTATGTTGATCTTGTTGATGTTTCATCTGTGTCTGCTAAGTTTAAATTTTCTTTGATTATACTTGCAGCAAACTGACAAAAATTTACTCCAATTGCCCGACGCCAAATTGTGTGATTGTAAATCTATTTTTTCCATCTTTGGATATTGATTTGCATTTCTTGAGAGATATCCTTATGTTCCTATAATGTCCCTCCCCACAGAACGTTTTCCATTGCACAGTTCTTCATAAAAAAAAGTTTTTTTTAGAATAATCGCACAACGCATCTATCCAAACAATGATACATTTATTTCGCTATGTAGATGCTGTTCATTTGCGGCTTTGCAATATTACCTAATCTGGTATATAGTAACATCAATAAATTTGATGTAATTGTCTTTTTATGCTCTCTTAATTTTCAACATGTCAATGTGAAGGTTTTAACCTTTTGATGAATCTGATAGAATGAAAGACATGAATGTGACTGAAGCGACTCTTTCATCTCTTGCCAGATGCATCTGCACGTTTTAGGCAACTTGAGCTGGTTTCGGGTGCAATTGATGACTATCGTGCTTCATATGTTCCGCCCAAAACGCTTGATGGATGACGCCAGACCGTCCACAGGGTTTAATAAATATTTACTCTTAGCAGCTGCTGTCTAGTTTTTTTATATTTGGTAGCTGATGTTTTAGATTAGTAACTTAACTGCAGAGTAAATCATGCTCAAATTGGTTAGCATTCAAATAATTTGTTATACCCTCTGTCTAAACTGCTACTATTTTCAACATACATTTTACTTTTAATATAATTTTTGTTTACAGAACTTATAATAATAATAATGAAAACTCTTTTATTTCTTCAAAAGCCAAAATAAAAATAAAAATTACAATTAAATATAAAATGATCAATTATTATAATAGTTAAAAGATTAAAATAATAGATAATTTAACATCAATGCTCGTCATTATGAATGTGTACATGTACAAAAATGATAATAATATTACCTGATCTGGTATATAGTAACCTGGAAAATAATGGGAACATCTTTTATTTTTCACCATAAAAAAACATACAATGATAAAAATATATATATATATATAAGTTAATGTTAATTAAATAATGCGCAACGATAAAATTTTTAAAAATTGTATAAAATAATATTAAGGGTTAAGACCGTTTTGCTCATTGTGAAGTTAAGTGCAGAACGGTGAAATATATTTAATTAGCATTATAGCTTGTTCCTGTCACAGTAAATGTCATAATAATAATAATAATAATAATAATAATAACAAGAATAACAATAGAAACTCTTTTATTTCAACCAAAGTCGTTAAAAATGAAAGATAAAAGTAATTAATGAATGTAATAATGTTCAATAAAAACCACAACGCTTGTCTAGGACAAGTGCAAAACGGTAATGTATTCAAAATGGTTATGAAGTGTTCCTATCGCAATAAATGGTATAGGTCGATCTAATTACAGAGTCTATTAATTTGTTAATAAATGAAATTGGCCATGAGTTTTTAATTGGCGTCAAATTCAAAATATTGAAAAACCTATCGGAGTTATTTCAAATGTTTTTAGAAAAATTGAACAGTTCTTAAAGTCAGTGTTCAGACATAAATTCAAACTATTTTTGTATTTCGATAGTTTGTAGTTTCTTGATTTTGGCAGATTTATTTCATGGCACATCTTTACCTCGATTATTTCAATTTTGCGGTTGCACAGAATGGCGACGTCTGGACGGATGGAGTTGAACAGTTGCGATATTGGTTGAACCCCCTCTGACTCGATATCTGCGAATATCAAGCAATCCTCCTGGCAACATGTCTTTAACCAATTGACGATCTCAGAAAGAATTTTATTATGACGTTGTTCTGTATATCTTGTCAGCGCAGCAATCGATCCACAGTTGGACACAACATGTTTGTTAGTTTGCTTTGCGCAGCACATAGAGAATCTTGTGTCTTTCCCCATCTGACCAGATTGGCGTTTGTTGAGGAATAATATATTTTCTAGCAAATTTGTAAAGAGTTTCTGAGATTGTATCTAATTGTTTAGACTAATGGGATATTTGAGATGATATCACTTCGTTCACCGATTTGACCAGACAACCTTGACTCTGAAGCGACAACACATAATTCCAGCAGGCAGCTACGCGGTTGTCCTCTAGGCGCTTTAACGCCTGAGTTGTTGTTTCTGCATCTGAAAGCAAGTTATCCACCAGTTTGTAGTCTATTGACGTTTCGCGCCAGAGACAACGAATCTCAGCATTTCGGCTTGTTTTAAAGTAATTGCGGAGTTTCAGTCTTATTCTCCACGTTTTTTCTCTGGGCGAAACAATGTTGTGACCTCCGACCTTTAATGGTAGCTCAAGCATTTCTGACACACAGCCGCTAATTGGCATCGTCAGCCAATTTCTAGCAGCTTCTGCCACTAGGTTGTCCAAATTATTTGTGATCCACGTCAGCGAAAAGTTGTTACTGCGTAATTCAAAGTTTGATTGTGACGTGATAAATCTTTCTTAAGACTTACAGTTTCATCTCGATGGAAATACTTAGATCGATTGTGATATTTAACAGTCTTGTTAATTTGGAAACCACTTCTTCCTTGGCCTTTGAATCTTTTAATTCCGAGTCGTATATTTAACCTAGGTATTTGAATTCGGAGCCCAATTCAATGTCGTCCATTGTCAACCTAGGTAAAAATTGCTTATATGAGCCATCTTTTTTCATCATACCGAACACAACATTCTACTCTCATTTGCATATCTGACCATCTACACCAGGCTAATCATTCAAATCGATCAGTTTTTGAGCACTTTCCGATTTACGTGCTACTATTGCTGTATCATCTGCGAACTGTAACCACGATCTAGCTTTAGCATTTGACGTTAGTCCCCACAAGTAGCCGCATTGTTTAAATTCCTGGCCTTCCAAGATTTTCATTAAAAGATTAAAACAGAGGTTAAACAATAACAGCGAACACGGATCCCCCGGTAGCACACCTTTTTTAACTGGCAACAATGGTATAAGTTGATCGTTGATTGATACTGATATTGTATAGTTGGAGTAGATTGATAAAATTAAATCATGAGATAATTGAGGAACATGATGGTAGCGTAAAATGGAATTGATGAGATGATGGCTCACTTCACTGATCGCGTTTTGAAGATCTAGCAGAGCAATAATTATTGTGCGTTGATGCTTTTTTGCATCCTTCATCAAGTGTGTTAGCATCTGTGTGTGTTCAGCCAGACCATCGACTGTTGGGAAGAATCCCTTCTGAACGTCTGTACTGATGAAATTATTTTTAGGAGGAAGTTGTGTAAACGATTCTTTATTAAAGTAGAGAATATTTTGTATAATACGGGCTGCACAGTTATGGGGCAAAAGTTTGCTGGATCATTCGTTTCACCCTTTTTGTAAATAAATTGTTGAAGCTTTTCTCCACCATATCGGGATGGTTGCAGCGGACACGGTGTGGCCTTGGCCTTGCATTTACGAATGATCGCAGCGACTTCATTGTAGGTCGTTTTTCAATGTCTTCTCTAAATGATGGTTCCGGTAGGGAAGGAATCCAGTCTGGAAAATAGAATGAGGATCTCACGTTAGCCATCAATCCATTGCGGAAAAAATTTTTCCTGTCGGCCACACTGAACTGAGGAGATACATTTGTAGATGATGAAAACGACGATCTGCATGCCTTCCAAAAGTTGTTGTTGAATTGATTTGTAGCTTGTGCGGGGTACGTTTTCTTTGACGATTTTAATTTCAGTCTATTTTGTATTAATTTACTCAGCTTTGAGATATTGTTGTTGAAAATCTTGTTGCATGTCTTGAGCTTTCAATTGTTTTAGTTCTTTTTTCAACTGTTTGATTGTGCGGTCGATTATCAAATTTGCTTTAGTTTTTTCAACGCCATAGGTTTTTCTGAAGTAGGTGTAAATTATTTGCTGAAAATGTGTCGCAAAATTATTGATATCCATGTTGTTAATAAGAATTATAATAATAATATTCATAATAACAATATATTATTTATACAGCGGTCTATACTTAGCGTCATGGAGGCTAAAATTATATATTTTTATGATTACAATCGTGTAGTTTTCTGTATTTTTTTGTGTGAAATTAGTTCAACATTATTATTACTCATTTAGTCATTCATTATTTGCATTTACTTTTGTTATCAATCGAAGGAGTCGCTTGAATGTGGAAGAATGTTTGGAGCACAAATGGCTGATGTTGCATCACTCCATCATTAAAATGAAAAAAGCTTCTATTTTTCCCACTGATAAATTGAAGTATTATCTTGAAGACTATAATAGTAAGTTCATCATTATCTATTAGAAATATTTTTCCCATTAGCATTACATAAATTATTACCATTATAAATATTTGATTCTGATACTCTTGAAATAAATCTTGAAACAATATTTTTCAATCTAGAGTGTAAACGTTTTTTGCAATCGTTATTTTATCGTGATGCTTTGAATCATTTTTTCAACAGCTTTACAAGTTAATATTTTATAAGTTATTTAAAATTTGAAAATTTTCAAGATGTTTCAATTTTTAAGTTATTTAAAAGTTGAAAATTCAAGATATGATTTTGAAGTCATTTTAAAGTTGAAAATTTTTAAGATGTTATGTTACCGGGCTAAAACTATTTTAACAAAAACTGTTGGTTTTTTATATGCTTTAATATTGTTATATTGATTGTTTATAGCGCTCTTCAAAATTTACTTATCTTTTTTATCACCATAATTAAACATCACAGTACAATTTTTGAATTTTTTTATTATAAAAATTTACCATTTTTTTGAGGACAAAAAGCTTTGTTTCAAAATAACAAAATGTTTTGTAAATGGATATGTTCAATTAATTATTAGTTACAATTTTCAGCCATATCTCAGACATGTTTCGATAAATTTAATTTTTAATCATCATTAACTTTTGTAGTTTTGGTTTTCATTCGACTGATCATTTTCGGTAATTTAGTTGATTGATTGATTTGCTATGTAAATTGCACTATAAAAAATTATCGTCATTGATTGATTGATTTGATTGATTGATTTGATTGATTGATTTTATATGACCAGGTCGACGTAGTAAAAGTGCAAGCACGCTATCACGCATTGTGGAGACATTTGGTCTGTCGGTGAATCCAGCTGATGATGACTTCACTGTCAAATTTGTCGACGAAGAAAATGATGGCGATGATGATTACTTTGTCAACAGGAAAATATCCAGAAAACGATTTTTAGAATGAATATTTTGATTAATAATAAGATAAAGTAATTGTTATTCGTTTTCGACATTATACAACAAATGCTTTAGATTTTAAATTAGTTGACGCCAAAGTTTGCAGAATTTATTTAGTATTGTTTCATTGTGTGCATGTGAAGGGATTGTTTTACTTATTAAAGGATTAAGACGGCACATTATATTAATATTATTTTTTTAAATTAAGTTTTATCAAACTTGTGCAATTTTTTTGCATAAATTATTTATTTCATGTTTAATTCAATCCTACCCTCAATTTAAAAATATATTAATTAAACGTAGAAGCCTAACAAATCTTGCTGGAAATCTCTGCGAGCTAACTAAAACTTATTGTAACTAATATTCAGACTGTGATTTTTTGCCTCCAGCTATTCGGTGCTTCTTTAATTTTAACTTATTTGGAAACCTCATTGAAACAAGAGCGTTTTTCGGATTTGGTGTTGCTTACTTATGCGGCAATTAAACTTTAAGCAAGTTGAATCAAGTTGTTTTGATAGTTTCAAGTGTCTTTGACAGCTTTGTCCAGTGCAACCGTATAAAAAATACCTTCGTAAAACGATGGGATTATCGCTGCAGATTATTCGTCAGTTTACTCCATTCGCACAGTATACAATTATAGACAATAAATATTTTGTGACGGTTTTCATGCAAGAATAGGTTATACTTACAATATAGGTGGATGGGAAGCACCGTAAAGCTTTGCTGGTTTGGCCATTAAGCGCACTCGTCACTACACTCTAAACTTTTGATTGTCATCAATTTTTACTAGAATATTACAAAAAGCAAATCTTACGTGGTCAAATTTTTTTAATAAAATTAAAATTTCATCAAATTTCATCAGAAAATAAATGTAGAAAAATGAAGAAGACCCGTTAGTATGCAGATATATTAATATAAACGACGCGTGTCGGTACACTGAGCTTTCTAACTAACAAAATATAAATGCAACATATTTTATTATCTCAAAATAAAAATGAAAAAAAACACATTCATAGGCACTGTGAAAAGGGGTCCGTTTTAAACACATCGAGCGCAGCCACCTTAACTAAACATGAATTGTCACATCATTAAATGCACAAACAATGATTTGTAAGTTTAAAAAAAATCAATTAGTTCAGTTCTTAATACATTTCAACAAAAACCGTCTTTTATTAAGTTATTCTACATTTTAACACTAAAAAACGTGCGTAAGTCAAGTTGTCTTAGATTGGTTGGATATCATTTAAATATTTTCCGTCCATGATTTTTTTTATTTACCATTAAATAATTATTAAAAGAAGCGAAAAGCTGTGGGAATGGAAATACACGAGAAAAAAACGAAAAATTAATAAGACGAATAAATATAACTGTTGGTAAATATAATTATATGCCACTCACTCGATGGTTTGCCGCCAAACGATAATAACTATTAATTTTTACTGGCATTAAACCAAAAGAAGAATTTGAAATTTTATTATACAGACACTTTTTCAAATTGTTATTTGTTTTGAAGGAGTTTGCAAGATTTGCTGCTAAATCGATGTGCTTCAACGTTAAGGCAAATTTGTGGGTTATCAAATGGTTTAGTATCACGTGTGAAGTCATGAATAATTCTAATTTTGTTATAATCATCTTTATGAGATTTAATTTTTGATTTCCGAGTTGGCAAACTTAATAATGACAGGGCACGGAATGGTGGCGCCTTCAATTTTTCTTCAGTACTTAGTAAATATGTCTTGTGTGAAAGTGTGAAAGATAGTAGAAACAATATCTTCATCTTTTTTGGTTGACTTTTTAAGTTGAAAATCACAATATTATTTTCACTTTCATTAAATGTGTCGGCTATTTCTAATGGACACTTCATACTTTTTACGTAATTATTAACTGCGTCGTTATGTTATTTAATTAATGATATATAATTGACATAAATAAAAAACAAAATCATTTAACGATTCATCGAAAATAACATTAAAAGCATCAGTTCTGATTGGTTTATCATTATTTTTAAGTATACAAACTGTTTTAATTTGTCAAAATCATTGCATAGTTCTTTGTTCAGAAATTTTCTAAATTTCAATATTCATTTTTTCGTTTTTTTTACAAGAGAGGTTTAATTAATGCCATCAAACTGTCAAATGACCTGAGGCAATCGCAAATACATTTTAGATTATTACAATTATTCATGGCGGGTAAAGTATCTTAAGATATACATTTTGCAGGGGAAACATAAAACACACCACTTTTACTACTTTTCGTCAAACGTCTTTCAATTTCCGCCATGTTTCATGCCTTACAAATAGCTCAAGCTGTACCACGGGGTGATGGGTGATTATAAGCAATTTTCTCGTGATGGGTGAAGAACAACTTTTTGATCAAATTCCGACAAAAACGGTCCGTGACAAAATGCTATTATATTTGAACAGAAGAACTTGATTTATTTCAAAATTATACAAAGTTTTAAGATAGAGATTTAATTTTTCGGAACCGCAAAAAAACTGGCTTACATCAGCCAATTAATTGATTGACTCCACTATATAGAAAATACATAATTAGGTAACTAACAATATATAACACTGATCGGCCGATAATATTAGTACTATGCAATAATAATAGTAAATAATAATACTATGCACACAAGCGTGCGTAATAATTCAGAACTTTAATTGTGAATAGCATAAATTAAAATGAGTTTAAATTTCATCTACATACATATTGTACAAAAAAACAAATGTAAAATATAAATAAATAATCTTTATCTACATATATATTGTACGAAGAAATAAATTTAATGTTTATGACGACAAATTAAAGTAGCATTTATAAAATTTTGAAACTATTTCATCGTTAATTAAAATGTGTGAAAACACACATATAAAAAATATAACACTGTAACAAAAATGAAAATAATAATACGAAACAATATTAAAACTGTCAATAAAAACAATAAAATTAAAATACGAATCTACTAAGCAAACCAAAAAACATCATCCATGATAATGGAAAACATTAACTGTACTAAAATACCAGATTCAATACTAGATAGAAGTCACCTGATATGTTCATTCACTTGCAAAATTGGTGTTTGTTTATACCAAAAATCTGAATATGCCGGAGTCACTGACACCAAATTATCAAGAAAACCTACTATGCACGCAATCTGACGCTATCAAAAACCACCTGAAAGATAAACACAATATACAACCCACTGGCGACATCCTTGATAACAATATTGAAGTTACATTATAATAATAACAAGCAAGAACTAAAAATTGTAGAATCACTTTTCATTGAACAAAGACATCCCATTATAAATATTCAACAAAGGGCCACTGCCGTTCTATCATCCCTTAAATTTAGAAAATGACTTTACCGAGCAGACACACAAAGAGATACAAAGAACACATAAAAACTTTAATTAACATAAAGAGATACAAAGAACTCTTAAATAATTTAATTCTTTTTAATATAAGAACAAAGTAACTAACTTATATAAGGACATGAGCAACACGAAAATTAACATTGATAATGGAAATATGAACATGAAAAGCTTTTCTGTTTCAAACATGCACACAAATTTTGTGTATGAGTTAAATAAACTTAATAATCAACTGAAATTCATTGTAATAATATTTGGGAAAATAAATAGAAAATTAAGCTACGCTGAAAATGCTGCGATTTTTCTAGACCTATATATATATATATATATATATATATAATAAAAATATAGTAATTAGCACAATAAAACATAACACAAAAGCATTTAGTATTTTTAGTATTTTCAGCATTCAGATAAGATTTTTGTTTTTCTAGTCTCGACCGTCTCAACAGTTTTATTCAACAGTTCCTGTCGTTTATATGATGCATCACCGAAGCGGCGTGATGGTATGACAGAAAAGTGCCTGGCTCTTTTATTGCAGTGACCGTATTCTATTGCAAAGAGATGCCCGCCTATCACATGCAATGTGTGTGGTGCGCTGTTTCACCTTTGTTTGATGCTTATGCCTCTGCACGGCTTCGAGGAGAGTTGTAAATAAATCATTCCATGTTTAATTTTTACAAAGTTTATTTTTAGAAATTTTTTAATTTTG